ATGATGGCGGTTGTATTTCACGACGCTGAAACACAGACAGAAGAATCTGCCACATTTCCACCAGTCGACGCTGAAACTCAGACTGAAGAGTTTGAATATATATTCTCCAGGCCCAGCGGATATCAAGCACCCGACCAAGATTTCTTTCAATCTGACGACAAGGTCCGTTTTTATACGGGACTGCCATCATTTGAGATTCTAATGGTTGCTTTTGAACACGTGTCTCCACATGTCACTCGCAAAACTCACTCCCTCAGCAGATTTCAGGATTTTGTCATGGTCCTGATGAAACTGCGATTGAATGTACCCTTTCAAGATCTGGCTTACCGTTTCATGGTATCTGCGCCCACTGTGTCAAGGATTTTTTCCTCCTGGCTGGTTGCCCGGGGGGGGGTACTCCCATATATGGGCTATATAGGTATGTGCCGCTGTGAAGGGTATGGTTTTCAAGCAGTTTACTCTAGGATAGGGTATATAAATCAGAGCGTTTGGGTCTAGAATGTCTAGAATAGGGTATCATTTTTCAGGAAACTGATCATTTGGTTGAAGATTTTATCTAGACTAGGTAAACAGCTACTCTAGGATAGGGGGATTTGGGGAGTTTACTCTAGTATAGGGTAGCAAAATTCAGCTGAACTAGCTCTGGTATAGGTTAAGGGTTCCAGGGTCCCAGCGGAACATCCCCACCCAGAAATTCCTAAAGTACCCCCGAGGCTGGTTGTTATGGACACCAGGTTGTTTCCTCTTGTTTCCTGGCCAGATAGGGAGCAGTTATGGAAAACAATGCCAATGTGTTTTCAACATGCATTTGGAAGGAAAGTAACTGTAATCATTGACTGTTTTGAGGTGTTTATCGAAAGGCCGTCAAATCTGTTAGCCAGAGCACAAACATTTTCATTGTACAAACACCACAATACGATCAAGATTCTCATTGGTATTACACCCCAAGGAACTGTGTCTTTTGTTAGTGAAGCCTGGGGAGGCCGCACCTCTGATAAGTATCTGACAGAGCATTCTGGATTTCTCGACCAATTGTTACCAGGAGACATGGTAATGGCTGATAGAGGGTTCACGATTGCAGAAAGTGTTGGCTTAAAGCAAGCCAAGCTGGTTATTCCAGCCTTCACAAAGGGGAAATCCCAGTTGGATCCAGTTGATGTGGAAAAAACCAGAGGCATGGCAAGTGTTCGTATCCATGTGGAGAGGGTGATAGGGTTGTTGCGGCGCAAGTATACCATTTTGGAAAGCACACTTCCAACAGATTTCCTTGCTTGCAACCCAAATGGACCACCTGCATCACAGATTCCTATGATTGATCGTATTGTGAGGGTTTGCTCCGCACTTATTAACTTATGCCCACCTATAATACCATTTGACTAGTTTCAGTTGTACAGTTATCTTCTTTTAAATGGACACCCCGGTATACCAGACACTTCTGTGCAGCGGAAGCTTTCACTGGTCCTAACTCAGGCAAATTAGAGCTGTTCATCTGTGACTAAACTCTCTTTTAAAGAGAGTTTAGTTACAGTTAAATTAAGGCAGACAGCTAGAGCTGGTCCCAAGGGTGTCCTGCTTACTAGAGAGTTCACTGTATTGCCAGTTTTAAGTTTAACATAATTATGTGCTTCTGTGAACAGTAACTTAATGTAGGTGAAGGTCAGTAAGAATGTGTCCTTAACAAATATCTAAAACATTTTAATTGATTCAAAATGACAATTTTTGAAGATGTAGACTCTCATGTCATCAATTTTCTTACTTCTTTTAATTACATAATTTGTTAGTGTTTCAAACAACAAGAAAAGTTTTAAAAAATTGTCTTTTGAGATGACAGTGAAACAGGTATTTGAGCAAAAACACTCAAACCCGTAATTAATGCAGTAGTTTTCAGCAGGTTATTTTATTGTTCTTCTGTTTGGTCTAATTACTACCATGAAGAATGTAGTTAAATTACAGTTAGTACAACATTTTGCAGCACGTATCGTTGCTAAAAAGCGTAAGTATGATCATGTAACACCTATCCTTAAATCATTAAATTGGTTACCCGTAAAAGACCAATATTATACTTTAGAGATGCTGTGTTAGCTTTTAAATGTATGTCGGGACTAGCCCCTGGGTACCTTAGCGATCAATTAATTCTACGTAGTACTGTAAGTAACCGGCAGACCCAGACTCACAGATGCTAAATATCCCTTTATTTAGGTCTGCCACTGGGCAGAAAACATTCCACTACAAGTTCAGGAGTTGCCATAAAGGCATTATGGTGACAACCGGGAGGGCACATTGTTTACAATTGTATGTATGTATGTATGTATGTATCTGGTGAGCAATCACGAAACAGGCTTGTAGGGATAGAAATGTTATTTTTCCGCTAACAATATTTTTCACGCTCTACTTTATGTACTGAGCACTCTTCTACGGAGATATCGAGCCACAAACTTTATGTATGTATGTATCTACAGTGGAATCCTGATATTTTTAACCCACAAGGGAAATAATAACTGGTTCAAGCAATCAGGATTTCCAGATATCAGGAGTAAAATTATGGGCTTAAGAAATCAAGGGACTGAGAAACCGGGATTCTAGTGACATGTTTTTCTCATGAGTACAATATTATGTACATTTATCAACAATGAGCAATTAGATGCTGATCTGATCACCATTAGTTCAAAAATGAAAACGCTGACCCATTTCTGAGCAGGCAAACATTTTTCAAGATGTTGGAATGCTATTTGCATTTTTAATTCCTCTTTCAGGTGAAATATCTTCGTTATAACAAACAGTCACTTAAATTAGTGGTAACTAATGTAGGCCATTCATTTAGAAAAAGGTCTATTTTACCTGGGAGTTCTCCTTTAAGACCAAACCCTTAGCATAATATTTTCTAAAAACATATTTCATCAAAGAATAGCTGTCCTTTCAATAACCTGCTGTGGAATGATGTACCCCCCTTTTTTATTTTTCAAAATAATTTCCCTTGGTACACTGTAAAATCTGCCATAAATAATAATTATTACCTATACCCCTTTGGAAGCACATAAACATTATTGCCCCAGCTATTTTTCAAGGAAATACAGTTTTATAATTATTGATTCTGAAACAGATCAACCTCCAGTCATAACTGTGTCCCATGTTGGGCACTTTGACAATTCTGGGTTGGTAGCCTGAATCTGTGTAAGATTTGCCAAAGCACTCTGTTTGTCAATTTCACCTGATCTCAACATCATCATCACTTCCACTAACAGAATCAGTTTGGATGTTGGATGTTTATGGTACAGACAATGGCACAGGTAATGATGAAACTGTTCCACTGAGTTGAAGAAGTACATGGTGGCACTGACCTGTTTGGCTGTTTACACACAGTACTGTCAGCTAGTCTTACAATTGTTTGGCATCCTTTTTTTATAAGACAACTTAAATGAAAAAATTTACTATTCTTACAGTCTGCGCTGTGGCACTCTAGTAGTTTATCTGTTGAGGTTGCTTTGGACTTGCAGAGACAAATATTGTCGCAAAGCAAGGCATTTTGGTTAGTTACATTACCAGGTACACTTAATATTTCCTCTTACAGAGGTCACGAATCCCCAAACCATCTGGTTGAAGGCTTCCAAACTCTTGTAGGCCTTGAACTGCCGTTTCGTATACTAGCTAGTCTCTAAAACCAGATATCCTAGCAAATCAGTGGCTTCAATACGTGGCAAACATTCTGGGTCGAACTGTTCGGTTGGAATGCTGACCGGGTCAACTCCAAGTAGGAACATTTTCTGAATATATTGTGTCTTTACTTGGCTCTCGAGGCTTTTGGCGAACCCGGAAAGATCAAGGATACTCGCACTAGTCCTATCTGAGTCCTGATCGCTTTTTCCGTCCGATAATTCCATTTACGACCGCAAAATTTCGAAGAGAACGAAAGAGTTGCGAGATCCGACATACTATTATCACAAATTTCACGGTCGGAAGGGACACCAACATGGCCGACAACCAAATTTGGAAATGCCCGTGACGTCACGTGAAAACCAAGAAAGAAAACCTACACTTGTTTGCAACCACGTGACCAAAAATTACTACGTCATCTGCCGGCGCCATGTTGGGGGACCAGACCATCAAGATGGCTGCCATGGAGAGTGAGCCGGACGAAAACGTGCAGTTTTCGGATTATTTTGCGGGTCTAGATGGCCCATCGAAATTAAGATATAGGGAAAAAGTTAGTATATGTGGGTTCGACCCTTATTCGTTAAAGAAAAGTGATTACAGTGAAAATGTGGGGCTTCTACCGAGTGTGCAGTATCCCGATATCGTGAATTATTTAGTCTTGCAAACCTCGTGGGCGACAAAAAGCCAAATGAAGGCCTACAAGTCGATGGATGCATATAATTTTTTCGTCTCTGGCTGGGTGAACACCCTCTACATGCGATGTGTTGGTACAGATAAAGTTGTTGTGTTTGCGAGGGTGAGTGAAGATGAGCTTATTAAGTTCTTTGTTCCCTGTTTTAACATTTTCACTGCATGTTATTCCTAGTTTTGTCAGTGACAGATTTTCGTTTATGTGTACAACTACTTTCAGGTGATACAAATAAAATGTTGAGTTCAGCTAATTTGAAGGCTGTGATATGTTTTTCTCTGAGATGAAGAATTTATTTGGATAAATATTGTAAAATATCTGCAGTGGTTTTCAGTTCATCCTTGTTTTAAATTTTGTTTTCCTCTTTCTGGGTAATAGTAATTTGTGATAATAAGCTTAGAACCAAAGATAAGATTGAACCGGGGATGGATTCTTTTGTTTTCAACTTCATTGTTTTGTAAGACATATGCAAATGGCAGGGTTTTCTTAATTTGCATTATTTATGGGATACCTTGAACAGGTAAACCACTCACAGAGAGCCAGGGATACCCCTCGTAAAGTATGGTTTTTGGCCGAAAAAGATGGCACTGTTATAGCAGCCCACTGTGATTGTATGGCAGGATTGTGTGAAGCTTGTTCACATGTTGGTGCAGTGCTTTTTGCTGCAGAGTCTGGTGTTAGAATTAGAGATTCCACCACTTGCACACAAGAAAAAAGCAAATGGATGCTCCCTAGTCATGTGAGAGAAATCCCCTACTTACCTGTATGTGATATGGATTTTACATCCGCAAAGAAGAAGTATGATTTGATGGTGGAAAATGAAGTTACCCCTAGTGGGACTAGGTCGGACCCTGGGATCAAAACTACTGGGATACCTGCACCAACTGCTGATGAGCAGAAATTTTTTTTTGAAAGCATATCTAAGACTCAAGTGAAACCTGCAGTACTGTCCCTTGTACCACCATTTAATGAGCAGTTTGCATGTAAAGAAATTGACAATCTGCCAAAGTCTCTTCCTGATAGGTTGTATAGAGAAGAATGTGTTGTGCTGGAATATGAGGAGTTACTGCAATGCTGTAAGCCAGTAGTTCTTGAGGTTACACCAGGGGAATGTCGAGCAATAGAGGCTTCAACTAGGAAGCAGTCACAAAGTCAAGTTTGGTACCAGCAAAGGGCAGGTCGTGTAACCGCTTCCAAACTTAAATCTGTTTGCAGCACAAATCCAGCAAAACCTGCAAAGAGTCTGGTTAAGTCAATATGTTACCCTGAAGCCCATAAGTTTTCAACTGCAGCCACAAGGTGGGGATGTAGAAATGAGGGTAGGGCACGTGAAGCTTACCAGAAATCAATAGGTCAGTTCCATGAGTCTTTAACAATTTCAGACAGTGGTCTAAATGTTGATCCAAGGTGGCTGTACTTGGGAGCTTCCCCTGATGGGTTTGTAAATTGCAAATGCTGTGGGCAGGGTGTATGTGAAATAAAATGTCCATATGCCTATAAGGATGCAGTAATTTCTGATGCTGCTGGCAAGAAAAACTTTTGTTGAAAAAAAGATGAACTTGGTAACATTTACCTGGACAAATCGCATGCTTATTACTACCAAGTTCAAGCACAGATATTTATCTGTGGCGTCGAATATTGCGACTTTGTAGTGTGGACAATGCAAGATCTTTTTGTGCAGCGAATTCTTCCTGATCGAGAGCTTTGGGCCAATTCACTACGCGCTGCCACCGAATTTTTTAGCAAATGCCTTTTGCCTGAAATGGTGGGTAAGTGTTACACTCGTCCAGGTTGTCAAGTTCAAACCCACATTGACTCAGTATCATCAACATGTGATGAAGACGATGTGGAAGGGCCTTGGTGCTACTGTCAGCGACATGTGGAAGGAAGCACATTAATCGGGTGTGACAATGATACATGCCAGATAAAATGGTACCACATGTCGTGTTTGAGGATGAAAGAACTGCCTGAAGGAGACTGGTTCTGTCCAACTTGCCATAGGCTAACATAAACAGACTACAATCCTGATCAAAACGTTTAG